AGCTTTCAACATTGATATAGTGTAATTGTAATATTTAATAACATAAATAACATTATATTTAATAACATAAATAACTTAAATAACATTAATAATATAAAATGACAATTGAAATATAATAACACAGATAAAATATAATGAATTTAAACAAAATCTATTTTTTAATGTTCACAATATATGCTCAATGTAACCGCCATTCTGTTTTAAACATAAAGCAATTCTCCGCATAAAATTTTTCCTTACTCTCCGAATTATCGGAGGAGTGATTTCCGCACACGCGTTTCGAATTTTATTTTTAAGATCTTCTTTATATAATGTTATTTATGTTATTAAATATTATAATTACACTATATCAATGTTAAAAGCTGATTTCACTTTGGTCATTCCCTACGGATTTGCATTCAAGGTATCAATCAAGGAATTTTTTCACTTTTCATGAAAAAAAATTGCATGATCGATCCTCTGATTTTATTATTTTTCAATTATGCGAGGTCGGTAAAAGAAGACCGATCATCAGATAGGCAACCCGACTAACCGATCTGTATGTTGCGGAAGCACCCTGTATAATTAATATAATATAAGAAATAAAACAAAATAAGATGTAAATGTGTAATAAAAATATGAATTACGTTTACTCATTAAAGGAAGTATTCGTCGCTTTCGCATATGTGTTATAATTAGAATTAAAATATTCTGAATTCGCCAAAACACAGGTCCAAATTAAAATACAATAATAAAATTAAGATAAAAGATTTGCCAAGTCTAAGTTCGAAAATTATTCATCTATTTCAATGATTTCTTCCAAAAGTAACGATAATACGATAATAAAAAGGGAAAAATATAATATAAAAGAGGAAGAAAAGAAAGAAAAAAAAAAATAATAATAATAAAAAATAAATAAAGAGGAAAAGAAAATAAAGGAAAAAAAAAAATAAATGAAGAATTCAATATATAAAGAAAACTGAAACGAGATATAAAGGTAAAAAACAATACAAATTTTTGATAAATAAATCAGAAAAGGCAACTAAAAGGAAATAAGAATTAAGGAGTAACCGAATCACCTTGCGGAGGTTTCAGGCGAATAGGGAATTATTCGCGAATTGCCTTGTGGAGATTCCTGGCGAACAGGAAATTGTCGGCGAATCGCCTTTCGGAGATTCCCGGCGAACAAGGAAGAATAAGGAATAAGACTAGAGGGGAAGTTAAACAAGGATTGATTGATTGATAATAATTACTAAAAATGTAATGGTTATTAAACCGTTTAAAATTATTAGTCAGACATAGATTTTCAATTGTGAGATAGTAAGATATGGGAAAATAAGAATTACTCAGTTTTACTCACAACTCGTTGGCATCATAAAAATAAGTGCGTTGATAAAATTGTAATGGCTGAGGTCGGAGGTTTATAACATGAAGAGCTGAGTAATGGATGTTCATCAGAAAATTCACATGATGCACAATTAAATGTTAAAAAAATCATTTTCACTGTGATATAAAACAGATTAATAACTCAATTGCATAATGCAAGAAAGGAGATCCCCGAGGCTATATAATTTTAAAATTGAATGACTGGAATTGTAAACTGAACTGTCAACTGCACTGCTACTTGTCGGAAGAATTAGCATACTAAACTGTCAACTGTGCTTATTAGTACCGCGTCGCGCCTTATGTTTGCATTTTAAAGTTATTATCCCTCCTCCTTACTGGATAGTGGAATCTTTTGTAATAATTTCAATACTTCCTTCTTAAGGACATAGAGGCTGAGTTTTTGGGAGGAGAAGCGTTTCTTAAAATGTTTATTAGTTAAGCCCTTTGACTCGAGACTTAGCTCCATCCAGTAGAGAGTAGGAGCCGATTATCTTATCCCATGACGATTTGACGATTCGGAGAACGCTTGAGAGTGGCCTGTCGAACGAGCGCACGTGCACAAATCAATTTCAAAAGATTTATCTTATGTTTATTTTTTTGTCAATTTCCCGAGGACCACAGGATCTTTGTTTTAAAAATCTCTGAGATATAACGATTTCGAGTAAACAATACCAATAAATACGGGCTGTTTTAATTTCTTATAAAAACTTTTCGTATTATAATTCACGAATTTATTTAGAGTTTCGTTAACGCTGTCTCGACTGGCCATTGTCAGTATTAGATTTATTAGATTTAAATGATTAAACAGGGTGTCCGTGAATTTTCGACCTTGACGAAATAAGGAGGTAGATTGGCTCAAATTAAGAAGGAAGAAGTACTTCTGTTATTTGTGATTTTCGCAATAATTAATGAAAAATTAAATTATTAAAAGAAGATCGGTCAATCTGCGTGAGTAAAAGCGCGCGGCGACGAGAGTCGTTCCACTGTAATTACGCTATCATTTCCTCACCACCTTGCGGTAGATAGCATGGTGCGCTTTTTTTATAGTGGTTTCTCCCATAGGCCTATTCCACTCTCAATTTAAAAATTATTCAAAATGCTATTACTATACGCTGAATGTATCTTAAATGTAAAAAATTGATGGTGACAGTATCTTTACAAAAAATTGATCCGTGGTTGAAAATCCCTCGATAAAATGTATTGCACACGTTGATAATGATACGTTGATAAAATGCTTCAAGAATCCTTTCTTCATCTCGTACACGAAGGCGCACTTCTGGACCGGTTATCCCGATATTATGCACGACACCCAGTTTCACATAATTATTGCACGACACGTTAAATTGTGCGACCACTTGGTTTTCGTGCACGCCCGGGAAATGAATCCATGAGTGTAAGTGTACGTATGAGTTTGACGCTTGCGCACTATGATTACATGTCCGCTCAGCTGTAATTGCGTGCTGCTGACGTATGCAGTCTGGCAACAGCGTGCGAGAGCTAAGACGTTTTAATAAAAATCTTGTGTCCGCGTAGTAAATTAACAGTGAAAATGAAGTATACTCTGCAGTAATATACGGATATAATTGTGGCATACAGACTAGCGGGAGAAAATACTTATCGTACGGCCGCAATTTACATGGAATCATTTCTCGGGCGTGCACGAAAACTGTACAATTTTACGTGTTGTGCAATAATTATGCGAAGTTGAGTGTCATGCATAATATCGGGATAACCGGTCCAGCAGTGCGCCTTCGTGTACGAGATGAAGAAAGGATTCTTGAAACATTTTATCAACGTATCATTATCAACGTGTGCAATACATTTTATCGAGGGATTTTCAACCACGGATCAATTTTTGTGAAGTACTGTCGTCATCAATTTTTTACATTTACGATACATTCAGCATATAGTAATGGCATTTTGAATAATTTTCAAATTGAGAGTGGAATAGGCCTATGGGGGAAACCACTATAAAAAAAGCGCACCATGCTATCTACCGCAAGGTGATGTGGAAATGATAGCGCATCATTTTCATGCCACTAAAAGGACGGGTCATTTTTCGGCGTGGTATTGCGATATATCGCAACCACCATCATGTCTTGGAGAGCGACCAGCACACCGCTTCGCCGCGCTCTTAGTATCAGATTACAGTGGGACGACTCTCGTCGCCGCGGGCTTTTCACGCAGATTGGCCGATCTTCTTTATTTAATTTTTCGTTAATTATTGCGACAATCACAAAATAACAGAGGTACTTCCTTCTTAATTTGAGCCAATCTATCTCCTTATTTCATCAAGGTCGAAAATTCATGGACACTCTCTATACGCGGGTTAGGTTACGTTTTTCTATGCGCTATTATTATTCTGAAGAAGGATTGTTTTGTGTTTCAAACACAAGCTGAACCTTGATTTTTTTTCACGATATCATTTCGAAGAAGTAAAAGAATCGTGGAGTCCACCGGACGTAACACATACTTTATTGCACTTGTTGCTAATTGTATCGATCTCATATCTGTTTTTAAATATTTTTAGTTAGACTTTCTGTTATGTAAAATAAAGATTTTTTATCACATTGTAAGTATACGTGCGCATTTAATTTACGTGTGCTCAATTAGTTCGCATCCGTGCCGTTAGAAGGCTCCGTAGTGGAAAACTTACCCGCACTGAAAAACCACTTTCGAAGTGTATATAAAGCAAGCATGTTTGAAGAATTAGCTAAAGATAGAGAAAGTATGGATATATTGGGGAAACTGTTAAAAAAAGATGTTAAGCTTCGATTTTACTTTTAGCGTACGCGACGAAAGTAAAATTGATTTCATATATGCATTGCCACCGGAAATATCAAACATCATAATGGCAATGTTAGACAGTAGATCTCTTCATAACGCTGCGATGGTCAGTCGAAGCTGGAGACGCATATCAAAATACGAAAATCGAAGAAGACTGCGACGGATGAACAAGTCAAGACCAAGAAGGTATGTTGCGGTTAAATCGAGGAAGAGAATGCTTCTCTTTGATTTAATCGGAAAAAAATCAAAACAATACGGAGCGAATATATTGCCAAACACCACTGTATGCCATTCCCAACGGAAAATGGAAAAATGCGGAACGAACGCGTAATATAAGAATATAATGGTAAAATGTAATCAAGTATTCGATTAAATCGTTCGTGAGAACAAAAATGCGACAAATATAGTAGATGTAGACCAGTGCTGGGATTTAGTTGCAATTTTCGGCCAGATTTCTTGACTCACGTCTACCGTTCCCCCTTTACCGCTCGCACTTTAGCAACCGCGCCAACAAACGTTCGTAACTAAGGATCGCTCAGGAGTGTACGCGTCACAAATGTAAATGTGATATAGGTCATATATTAAAATATGTTGTAAAAATAAATAATATTTATACGTAAATTAATATATTCTTAAGCGTATTAAAAGTTTTGAATAAAACACAAATATCCGACAATATCTAAGGCGCATTTTTCGAACGATTTGTTAGGCGTGTCCGTGATTACTAACGGTACTTTGTTTTTTCTTGATAATTTATTTTTTTGACAAGATTCGCACTTTGCAATATATTGTTCGACATCTTTTGTTAGTCCTCTCCAATTATGTTGTAATCGGATTCTTTTAATCGTTCATTCAATTCCTTGATGCCCTCCTATAGGTGCATCATGATACTCTGATAATATCTGTTTTTTCTCTTCTTCTGTGTATGTTGTTATATTGTCAGCATCTGTTTCTTCTTCTTCCTCTATCTTTAGAATTTTTTCATCCTTTTCTAGCAATGGTCCCGGTATCGCGTTGCGACTTAAGGCGTCAGCATTTGCGTTTGCTCTTCCCGCCTTGTGTATGATTTCGTAATCATATTCTTCGAGTTTTAATCTCCATCGGATTAATCTCGATCCGGGGTCGTTTACATTGAACAACCATATTAAAGGTTTATGGTCCGTGATAATCTTAAATTTTGTTCCATATATGTATGGTCTAAAATGTTTAACAGCCCATACAATTGCCAATAATTCTTTTTCCGTAGTGTTATAATTTTGCTCCGCCTTTGTTAATATTCTGCTGGCGTAAGCAATCGGTCGGTCGTTGCCTATCTCTCCTTGTGATAGCACTGTTCCGATCGCATAGTCGGAGACGGTGGTCACAATAAATTCTTCCGTAAAATCAGGATATTTCAGCACTGGTGCAGTCATTAGTTTTTCTTTTAATGCTTCGAATGCTGCTTGCTGTTCCATTGTCCACTCGAATTTCTCTGTCTTTTTTGTTAATTTTGTAAGTGGCTTAGCGATTCGCGAGAAATTTTCAATAAATTTTCTATAATATCCTGCAAGTCCTATGAAAGATTGAATATCCTTGACTTTTTTCGGCGTCGGAAATTCTTTTATTGCTGTTTATTTGGAAGGGTCTGGAGATATTCCATTTTCTATAATAATATGTCCCAAATAATATGTCCCAAATAAATTACTTCTTTGCGAAAAAATTCGCATTTATCTGGCTGCAGCTTCAAGTTAAATTTCCGCAGTCGTTGTAGCACTTCTTTAAGTCGCTTGTTATGATCGTCTAGACTTGATTCGTAGATCACGATGTCATCAAGGTAGACCAGGCATCTAAGTCCTTGTAGTCCCATCAGTACTGAATTCATCAGCCTTTGAAAAGTCGCTGGTGCATTCTTTAATCCAAACAGCATTCGATTAAATTCGTAATGTCCGTAGGGAGTTGAGAAAGTGGTTTTACTTTTATCCTTTTCAGCCATTGGGATCTGGTGATATCCTGACGCTAGATTTAATGTACTGAAATATTTTGCATTTCCCAGTTGGTCTAGAATATCAGTAATATTGGGCAACGGAAATGAGTCGCCTATGGTTAATTCATTTAATTTTCGGAAGTCTATGACTACGCGGAGTTTCGGTTTTCCTGATGTATCTATGTGTGTGAAGTTAGCCCCGCACTTTTCGAATTTTGAATTTTTCTTGATTGTGCTGCATTGTGCTCCGTTTGTGCTGTATTGTGCCGCAAACGGCAACTCTCTAACTCAAAGCATATTCAAGAAAAAAGAAAAAGAAATTTTTTTTTGCTAGCCCCGCACTTTTCGAATTTTGAATTTTTCTTGATTGTGCTGCATTGTGCTCCATTTGTGCTGTATTGTGCCGCAAACGGCAACTCTCTAACTCAAAGCATATTCAAGAAAAAAGAAAAAGAAATTTTTTTTGCTAGCCCCGCACTTTTCGAATTTTGAATTTTTCTTGATTGTGCTGCATTGTGCTCCGTTTGTGCTGTATTGTGCCGCAAACGGCAACTCTCTAACTCAAAGCATATTCAAGAAAAAAGAAAAAGAAATTTTTTTTGCTAGCCCCGCACTTTTCGAATTTTGAATTTTTCTTGATTGTGTTGCATTGTGCTACGTTTGTGCTGTATTGTGCCGCAAACGCAAGATCGATAACACCAAGAATAAAAAAATATAAAACTAAATTATGGTAGCCCTGCACTTTTTTACGATTAAGCTCACGATTTTTTCCTAAATTGGCCCTAACTTGTGTCGCCCATATTATGTCGTTGGAAAAATTTCAATATCTCATTTTATTTCGATAAAGAAAATTCACAAAGATAGATTAAAAAAATATTACAAAGATTAAAAGAACATAAATCACACTGCAATGCAAATATAAAATTTCTGCAAGTTGTGCTGAGTTGTGCTACTCAAAATCTACAAAACACATGCATAAAAAGCAGGGATTATCTTGAAGGGATGAAAAAATTAATAAAAAAGGAATGAGAATAAATTAAAAGACATTTTATACATCTAATTTTAATATGTAATAAATATATGTGATAAATATATTTAATATGGAATACTCACATACAAACACACACACACACACACACACACACCGCTTTTTGCGTTACCCGGAACCAACGACGTGGACGTAGCGGTATTCTGGTTCCATTTTGTTTTTTTTTATTTTTGTTTTTAATTTTTTTTGTATTTTAATTTTATTAATTTTTTATATATTTTTTTGTGTTTTATATTTTTAATGTTATAGATGTACATATATATTATATTTGAAAATAAAACTAAATAAAATTGTGAATATTGTGAAAATTTTTGTTGTAAATAACGATAACATAAAATTTTTACCATCTTTTTTTAGAAAAGCATATAAGATAAAAAAAAATGCACGAAATCTATTTTATCTTTTCAATGTGTAACATAATTAAAAAGAATTTGCTTCGCATGCAATATAGATTATTAAATGCGGTTTTATTTTATATTCTTTAGTTTTGGTTCTTGTACGTCGCACTAAATTATTGAACTCTATCCATTGAGATCCTTGATAAGAATATCCTACATAATGTTCGTTCTCAATATCACCGTATCGTGCTACAATGCCTGCTAAAAGAAACGAATTATCGCCAACCTGTATTTTTGGCTAAAATTCTGCAAGAAAATGTTCTTCCTCTATATCATTTTTTATTGCGTCGCATTCTATCAATATTTGTTTTTTGTATTTTATGTTTCTATTCATAGGTTTTTCACAGCAGATGGATCTATTATTTGGCATACCTTCTAATATAGCCGCGGATAGTTCACAATATCCGTGCTTTATAATAATATCTATATTAATAGGAACCAATACAGATTGACGCATGATAATGCGTGAACATATGACACAATTTTTTATTTCTGTATAACTGGGATTGTCTTTAAAAACATATTGTGCAACATTTCCTATGCTTGAAAGACAGTCTATAGTTATATAATTTTTATCGATTTGAGTTTTGAAATTATTGACAGCCATTAATATTTCAGCTCTTAATTTATACGTATTTTGATTGCAACCATTTTTTAAAAGACACTTAATGAATTGCATGATGTTAGTATCATTTGTTTCAATACTATTTTTATAATATTCATGAATGCATGCACATGCAATTATAGATGCGATACTGTCAAATCCGCACGTGTTGGTAATAACAACTTTTTTTTTATCGATAGTTAGAAAGGGACATAGACTACCATTTTGCAGATTTGCGACTCCCATGCGCGTCTTTCCTGTATGACTTATATCCCAGTCTGGACAATTATCCAAATATGTTTTTCTTTTGTTTGTTTGTGTTGTGTTTTTATTTCTCCAATTATGCTCTAAATTTAAATCGTTTATATCGTCCAATATATTATCCTGAGAATCAAATTTTACTCCAATATTTGTCGGAGAATTAGAGTTGGTTTTAAACTTTTTTGATTGATTGAACATAATTGGAAAATTTGATATGTCTCCAGACTGGTTGCTTTCTTTAATAATAGTCGGAATAATGTGTTCAGTTTCACTTATCGAACTACTGATGACATCATTCTTTGTGACTGACTCATTATTTTTAGCAGAAGACGGAGAGTCATGTGCCGACATAGCCAATCGTGCTCTACCTGCAAACGATCTTAAATGAGTGACTACAAATTTATCTGCTCTCATCGGCCGTTCTTTATTATTTAATAAGATATGCTTAACATCTTTCATCTCAGACTCTACGGATGATGAGCTAGCATTTATCTCTCCATATTTAAAAATAGGGATCATTACTCCCGAATATAGTGGAAAGTAGCAAAGAAATGTTTTTAATTTTTGGCTTAATTGCGGAACGTAATATGGACTTGCCATATCACATTTTATTTTTGTTTCTACTAGCGTTTTGCGACACTCTTCAACAAGATTATTAGACCATGATGCAATATTACAATTTGTTATTTCTAAATCAAAATCTTCATCTTGTGTATTATTGTCATTATCTTCATAGGTAACAATTTCTTCAATACCTTTTATATGATTCGTTATAAGGATCCGAGCAACTTCCGATGGAGACTCATTTCCATCATTATCTTTCCCAATTTCTTCACTGAGAGATAATAAAATAATACTCTTTATTAATTCGACTAAATGAGAAAAGTTCGTCTGCTTCGTTAATAAAGCCATAGCTCGTATATAAAATTTCTTTACTTTTGGATTTAGTTGTGAAAAGAATTTCCATTTAGACACCATATTCATATAATGGCAAATATCAAGTCGTATGAAGCACTTTGGCATTTCAACAGAATGTTCTCTTAAAATTAGAGAAAAACAGGTTGTTAAATAATGTTTTAAATTTGAGTATTGCACGAAAGCTTTCACAATAGCATTAAGTAATGCCATATCAAAATCGCATATGACCGATTTAGGAATTGGAAAATTTGCTTTTTTAATCGATCCGATACGCAAGAATTCACTCAACCAATACTGAATAGCATTGACATTTTGCACAGCACTCAACATTTGAAAAACTGGCATTTTATAGTTAGGAATATTTGTGACGGCTTGGTATAAATAAATATGAGATGATAGTTCTCCATTTGGTAAATGAAATTTTTTAATTAACGAACCAGTTGCATCTATGTAAAGCGTATTGTGATATTCTAAATAAACAAGCATCTGTTCAGCTGTTCAATAATGGACAAAAAATGGATCATAGCCTATACCATGGATGGAACCTACATGATTTATATATTTCATATTTTGCAGATTGGTATATGCACATGATCCTGTAACTTGCAAGTCGAGATCTTGCCTTTCTTGTTTTGCCTTTCTCAATGTAGTAGCTTTATATAGATGTGGAGGTTCCGAATCATACAAATTCATTATTTTTGTAGCTTCTCGCCTCCGCCATGTTGTTGCCGACAACGCACCCGTTGAAAGAGATTGTGATATCTCTACTCTTTTTTGTCCACTCAGAGAACGTTTCTTTGTGTGTTTGATGTCCGCATTAAAATTTGTCACACGACATTCCATTTGAACATCTGTGTTACTATTAGGTTTTATAATAACTTTACCAATAAAATTTGACGAGCAATCCGGACATTTTGCATAAATAGTAGCATAAATGCCCGTTTCAGATATTTTACATCGTTTAAATATAAATGCACATGGTAACTTTGCAGTTTCATATATAAGTTCGAAAATTATATTTGTCCACCTACGGCGGCGTAATGTGTTATAATTTCTCTGTACCTTGCTATTAGATTTATAAATTACTGATTCGCAATCCATATCGTGCCATGTTTTTAAAGGTATATTGACATTAAATTCTATATCTTTTTCCGTAATTGATAAATTAAATGATTCGTCGTCATCATCAGTAGATATATCAAATTTAGTGTTAATAGATTTATCTAAATTGTGATATTTTAAAACTTTGTCATATAACTCATATCTATTTTGCAACAAAATAATATAAATGTATTTCGGGGAAATCTTTCCCTCTAATAAAGAACTTAATTCTTTATATATAGCAGATTTTGGAACAACTACTATTCCAGCTTCATCCAAAACGCATCTATATTTAGAACATAGTAATATTTTTTCTAATACATCTACTGGCGCCATGCTCAGTCTTATAAAAGAAAATCTGTACGAATAAAAACGAAAGTACGAAAGTAGACGTAACCAGACGTCTTACGCGTGACTTATTAAATCAGCCGTCGTCGGTCAGTTGTCGCTCTATAGATAAGCTTCTTCCTCCACTACTAAGGCTCCAGCGCATGCATTTGTTTTCGACCATTCCCCTCGCGCGCCAGTACTGTTCGCCGTTCGTCTCCCACGTAACGGTATATAAGAACATATGAAAATTTTATGTTATCGTTATTTACGACAAAAATTTTCACAATATTCACAATTTTATTTAGTTTTATTTTCAAATATAATATATATGTACATCTATAACATTAAAAATATAAAACACAAAAAAATATATAAAAAATTTATAAAATTAAAAATACAAAAAAAATTAAAAACAAAAATAAAAAAAAACAAAATGGAACCAGAATACCGCTACGTCCACATCGTTGGTTCCGGGTAACGCAAAAAGCGGTGTGTGTGTGTGTGTGTGTGTGTGTGTGTGTGTGTGTTTGTATGTGAGTATTCCATATTAAATATATTTATCACATATATTTATTACATATTAAAATTAGATGTATAAAATGTCTTTTAATTCATTCTCATTCCTTTTTTATTAATTTTTTCATCCCTTCAAGATAATCCCTGCTTTTTATGCATGTGTTTTGTAGATTTTGAGTAGCACAACTCAGCACAACTTGCAGAAATTTTATATTTGCATTGCAGTGTGATTTATGTTCTTTTAATCTTTGTAATATTTTTTTAATCTATCTTTGTGAATTTTCTTTATCGAAATAAAATGAGATATTGAAATTTTTCCAACGACACAATATGGCACAAGTTAGGGCCAATTTAGGAAAAAATCGTGAGCTTAATCGTAAAAAAGTGCGGGGCTACCATAATTTAGTTTTATATTTTTTTATTCTTGGTGTTATCGATCTTGCGTTTGCGGCACAATACAGCACAAACGTACCACAATGCAACACAATCAAGAAAAATTCAAAATTCGAAAAGTGCGGGGCTAGCAAAAAAAATTTCTTTTTCTTTTTTCTTGAATATGCTTTGAGTTAGAGAGTTGCCGTTTGCGGCACAATACAGCACAAACGGAGCACAATGCAGCACAATCAAGAAAAATTCAAAATTCGAAAAGTGCGGGGCTAGCAAAAAAAATTTCTTTTTCTTTTTTCTTGAATATGCTTTGAGTTAGAGAGTTGCCGTTTGCGGCACAATACAGCACAAACGGAGCACAATGCAGCACAATCAAGAAAAATTCAAAATTCGAAAAGTGCGGGGCTAGCAAAAAAAATTTCTTTTTCTTTTTTCTTGAATATGCTTTGAGTTAGAGAGTTGCCGTTTGCGGCACAATACAGCACAAACGGAGCACAATGCAGCACAATCAACAAAAATTCAAAATTCGAAAAGTGCGGGGCTAACTTCACACACATGATGTATCTGCTTTCTTAGGCACTACTAATAAGAGTGCGTTCCACTTACTCGTGCTTGTCTTGATAATTTCATCTTGCAGCATTTCTTGTACTTGTCGATTTACTTCTGCCTTATGCTTCTCGGGTAATCGGTATGGTTTCACATTCACCGGCGCGGTGTCGGCACGCGTGCTTATCTCATGCTCGACCGTCGCGGTGCATGTCAGTGGTTTTCCTTCCAGATGGAATATATCATTGTATTCTTCGCAAATTTTTACGAGTGTTCGTTCTTCTTCTGCATTTAAATGTTGTGTTCGCAATAATTGTCAAATTCGCTGCTTACGGGATATAGTGTTTTTTATTTTTCTTCCCGTTTCTATAATGTTTATTTCTTTTATATTTTCCTTCTTATCCTTCAGTGTGACTATGGGGGTTGCCATTTCAATGGTGTCCAGATTTTCCGCATTTATAACATTGTATGTTGGTATCTCGAGTTGATCGCGTTTTAGTGTCGAATTTATTTTTATTAGAGAAGCCGGATGCTCGTGGGCCGATAAGCTTCTCCTCCGCGCTCGCGCCATTTATCGCTTCTTGGAGCGAAGTATATCGTTGTGATCGCACCAGAGTTTTTAATTCGTCGCGTAATCCGATTTGAAAATTTATGAGTGCTTGTTTTTGAATGATTTTGTGTATTGCTTGTTTAAATGAAGGGGACTGTTCTTCCCCTTCCACCGTGGACTCATAAAGTTTCATGGTTAGGGCATCGACTCGTTGGCTGAATGCCTGGGCGGTTTCGCTCGACTTTTGTTTTAAAGTATTGAATTCTATTTGTAAGTGTGTTGTGCTTTGCTTTGCTTGATAGGAAGTTTCGAGTTGTGTTTTTAATTCTTCAAATGTTTGGATGTTTCGCGTTTCGAAATCTTGCAGGGCTCTACCTCTTAATTTAGTGTATAAGATTGCTCGAATTAACGATTCTTCGTCTGCGGGGTTAATATTTTCTACCGCATACGTGCAAGAGTTTAAAAATTCCTGTAATTTATGTGGTGTCGTTCCGTCAAACTCGGGAATCATTGTTCGCGCTTCTTTTAATGTCACATGGTGCGGGGCTGCGCTACATCGGTTTCGGATATCGCTTTGAGTGCGTCCGTAAGTTACGTCGAGTGGGACAGTGTTTGCATTTACTCGCGTACCGTTTAAATTTGCTTGTGCGGTTTGCATATTTCGCATTTGTTCGCGCATGTACTGCATTTCAGTTTGTATTTCGCGAATACTGTGTACGAGTTCGATGAGTAATGTGTTACTCGTTCCTTCGGCCGGCTGACCTGCGTCCTCATAGGCCGCAGCTACGTTTAGTTCGGCCTGTTGCGCTCGCATGCGCTTGATTTCTCTATCGACAGCTTCGTTGTCCATATTTACTTGCGCACGTGGCTCGAATAGACTAACATCTGAACTGATATTGGTGAATAATTTCTTCGTACCGTAACGCGACTTGGTCCGTCTTGTATTGAATTATCGTTATTATTCGGTTCGTGTTCCTCGGATGAATCAGAACTCGAATAATGCTTTTCTAAATTTTTTCGTACGCTACTACGAATATCGCGAGCAGCCTCTTCCGCTACTCGTATCGGAGTTACAGTTCCGAATCTATTTGCCAATCGAGCTGGCACGCTCAGAAATCGCGGACTCTTAAATCTTACTTGTTTAGGCGGTGCTGATATTTAGACAAAGTTCGACTTACAGTAGTAGTACGGTGATTCGCATGGTCGCAATTTATCGGGTTGCTTATCGGATCGCTCGACTGCTGACGCTGCTGGTGGGTCGTTGTCCCGCGTTGGTGCGTTGTCCGTCGGCGATGCGTTGTCCGTCTGCGTTGCGTTGCCTTGGCTGGGGATCGACGTTGGTCCTTGAGCGCTGGTGTTTCCTTTCGGCTTTCAGCTGCTTGACCGTGATTTCTTTATCACTGTCGTCCGTATGTGTTGTGTGCTGGTTGAGTCTATCTGCTTTAATATAGCAGTTGCTCTCTCCAGTTTATTAATTCTGTATTTTCTTTTTGTTGCAGGCGTTAAGGATCTAGGGATGGTCTTTGATCTCGGCTATCCCACCGCTGCCACCAATAATGTTGTGCCGAACGCGGCACAGGGTGTGGGGTAGCCGGGAGTTTCAAGTTAATTTCCTGAATTTGGTTGCAACTTTTTATTATAAAATTTCTCTCATACAAATATATTCATTTATTCGATATTAGTCATTTTCTTTTCAAGCCTTCTCTTAGCCTCGTTCTTAGATTTAGAGCGTCTAACAATTTCGTCGGGTGATTCGTCGCACCATATAGCGGTTAGCCCTCGATTTCACACTATTAACGATTGTTTTGTGATTAACGACTGTCCGCCGCGGATTCGCGGTGGACGGCTTTTATTCCCTCGATTTGAGGGTGTTTTTTGGAGGGGATCGCCTAGCGACATGACCATGTATGGTCATGGAGGTTTTTCGTGGCGTCCAAAGTCTAAGTGCAAGCGAAGGAGGTTCAAAGTCGAATCCCTTCGTTAGCGTTTTCGCGTTTCCGGCGAACATTCTTACGCGTGGTTCGCTGAGATAGCGGTTTTGCGCGGTTCGCGAATATTCTATTAATATTATCAAAATAATAAGTTATAGTCTTTCGGACTATAACAATATGTATATCATGTTATATATTTTAAATAAATTATATATTAATTTATAATATATATACTTTATTACTTTATTATTATATTATAATCCTTTTTAAACGTAGCTTATGTTATTTACATATAACATGTATTAAAATAAACGTAGCTTGTATTTTACATATCAAATGTATTATCGCAAAATAAATTTAGTATTGCTTATAATTATACGGTCTGTTCTTTGTTGCTGAACTGGCTGCATTAGTGTGTACTAGTTCAGAGTTTATCCTTTTCCCTCCATATTGATAGGAGAAAGATAAACTCTGAACTAATGCACACTAGTGCAACCAGTTCAGCAATAAAGAACAGATTATATATAATGTCGTATAGTAAAAAAATAAAAGTATTAGAGAGACAAAAGTAAGAGAAGATCTAATATGAAATCAATGTACACAGAGTATTTACAATATATATATATATATATATATATATATATATATAATCGTATATATACGTATATATGTGTGTGTGTGTGTATTGCATTGTGTGTGTGTGGATAAGTGGTGTGAGTGTGGGTGTATGTATGAACGTATGTATGTATAAAAGTGATGCAAGAGTTACATGAAGAAGCGAGGTAATAAAAACGTGCGAAATAAGAGCGAATGAGATAGAAATAGCACAAGAAACGAGGATTCGTGCTCGAGAATCGGATCTTTTTTTCACATTATTAGTTTTCTCTCGCTCGTATCTGTCATTGTCTCGCTCGTTCTTATTATTGTCTCGCTCGCATCTATTACTGTCTCGCTCGTTGCTATTACTGTCTCGCTCGCTCTCGATTCTTGGATCCGCTTATCTTTTCGAGTTGTCTATCACGATTGTCAAGTGTGAAAAGACAGAAAAAACAGGACCATGAATAGAGAGCGAGATGACCTATCATCAAAGAGTTCCGAAGTCTTTGACAATGCATTTTCTGACATGAGACTTTATTTATAATATTCACGAATATATGTCAGAAAATAAAATGCATTTTTTATTCATTTGAAAGTAATTTTAATAGAATAATGAGAATGTTACGATTAAAAGAAGATCAAAGACGATATAAGTGGCATAAATTTAGTTAAATATATAATTATAAAACTTGTATTATCAGACTAATTAAAAATAACCCGATTTACACCGTGTTTGATATCATTTTAATCGCAAAAATCTCATGAATTCATTGAAATTATTTCAAACCGATGAAATTAAGAATAAAAGTTTTAATTTTTATTTTATAAGATGTTTACATTTTCGTGAATTGCAAATGAATAGAGGAAGCGAAGAAACCGATTGTAAGAGCCTTCGGAACTCTTTGATGATAGGTCATCTCGCTCGCTCTCTATTCATCGTCTTACTTTCTCCGTCACACTTGACAATCATGATAGACAGCTCGAAAAGATAAGCGGACCCAAGAATCGAGAGTGAGCGAGACAGTAATTGATGCGAGCGAGACAATTATAAGAGCGAGCGAGACAATAATAGATGCGAGCGAGACAATAATAAGAGCGAGCGAGACAGTAATAGATGCGAGCGAGAGGAAAATAATAGTGTGAAAGGAAGATCCGATTTTCGAGTTCGAGTCCTCGTTGCTATTTCCCGTTCGCTCTTATTATTTTGCTCGTTCTTATTACCTTCTTCACGTAATTCTCGCATCACTTTTGTACATATATGCGTCTATACATACACATACTCACACCCACCCACACACCCCCACCGACACACACACACACACACACACACACACACACACACACACACACACACATATTGTGTATATGTATAACTTACACAGAATATTTTTTACGTAACACGTTGTAACGCTGTTTTCTCGCAGCTTGTTACGCCGTTGTGTGACAATAAGTATCTACTACGCGGAATTTGAGAAAGAAAACGCAACAACTTAATGCTTTAGTAGGCGTGTACATGTACACTAACGTATCCTATTACACGCAAGATGAAAGAGAAGGATGGTACGAGATTGACTCTCCTTGTCACACAAACCGATTATAGCGCCGTCTGTCGCGCTAGCAAGCAACTAATACATAGGACTGTTTTATTCACATGCCTCGATTTCGCACACATACATATGCACGAAATTTTTGTGCACTGAAATTATTTTTACTACCTTTCTAAACGCATTTCTGACTGTTCATTTATATTCCTTCAGGAAATTCCGAGTTGAGAGTGCTCTTATTTTGTACATACAAACTACAAAACTTTTGTATTCAACTTCAATAATATTGTTACGAGTTGATGTCAGAAGCCGATAAGAAAACTGTAATTTTCTATTTTTTTTTTCATTTTGAACATAAAATGGTTTACTCTCATATTTGTTGCTATGTGTAATTTAATTGTGGAAAAGTATTTATTAATCTGTGCAACTAATAAAAATTATTCCAAAATTATGCACAAAATTTTATCGGTAAAAATGAAGGTTCGGCATCCTCTTAATGTGGCATAATGAAATGTGATAACTTCCCTCCTCGCAATCGACAAAGCTAGAATTTTTTAAAGAGGTTTGAAAATTTCTCTCCGAAATTCTAGAATTTTTTCTTTTAGAGGGAATTTGGAAGTTTCCCTTCTTAAGAACCTTTGGATTATTAATTTTCAGGAAGAGTTTGGTAATTTTTCCCTCTAAGAATTTTTGGATCATTGGTATTTTCAGGAAGGGTTTGATAATTTTCTTCTCCAAGGATTTTTGAATCATTAACATTTTCAGGAGAAGTTTGGTAATTTCCCTCTCCAAGGATTTTTGGATTATTAATATTTTCAGGAAGGGTTTGGTAATTTCCCTCTCCAAAAATTTTTGGATTATTAATATGTTCAAGAGGGATTCGGTAATTTACCTCTCCCAAGGAATTTGGAGTTATACAAGTTATTTAGATAATCTTTATTTTTCTTCTCATTTTTATTCATTATTTTGTTTTCACAATTAATTTTGATTTTATTTTGAGTTTGAGGCTTATTGTTATTCTCTTATTGATTTAATATTTCTTTCTTATCTTCGTTTTTAGTTTCTTTAGTAATAATATTATTACCATTCATGCAATAAGCGTAATCCTTGTAATTTTGAAGTTTTAATTTTCCTAAAATATATTTATTTGTATTGAAGAGAGTCCAATTGAAGACAGAAACGTACGTTTACATTTCATCATATAATGCGCATATTCATTAATAGTTACTTATACATTTCATCACATAATGCGCACAGTCATTAATAGTTACTTAATTTAAATGTATTGCAACGTTATTAAATCTATTCTTACTTACTGACTTTAACATTATTGCATAATATTAGCTCCTCAAGCCCGATTACTGTTTAATTTATTTAGATAGGAGCCTCTTTTACTTTTAATAATATTATCTTGATGATCTTTGTTTTGACGGTTCGTCTTCAATTTCTACTTTATTTTCACAATCATCGAACTCATTAATTTTATTAAATACTTCGTGCGTAGCTTCTTCCTTTTTATTCGTTGGTTCTTCCTGATTCCTTAGAACTTCAAAATCTTTTTCTTGATTACCAAGTAGATTATTCAAAAATGTTAGACGTATAATAGGAACATGAATATCCATTTCTTCATCTAATGTACTTAGGACGTTTAAATATGCCTTTTCAGCGATGTTTTCTACGATAGTATCTCCTAAATAGATTCCATGTGATATTTTTAATTATGGTATATATCCTACTTTTATTTCAGGATTTTCCACTCTTACATAAAATAACGACTC